CATGAATTTCTGAGAAAAAGATGGCAAAGCTAATGATTGCCATTTAGGCTTTTCCAGCAGCTTATGATACCGGAAAAATCATGGAAGAGCAGAGTTTCTTCTCTCTGGGATGATTGTCACAATGGGGTTATTTTCTATGGATGTATATCATCTGAATTAAATCCCAGCAAAGAATGGATGAGACATTCCTCCCTTGGTTTCTGCTGAAATTATTCTACCACAGGGCAGCATAACATCCCAATTTTCTCTTACATGAAACAATATTAGAGTGAATACACTGAACTCTGTCGTAGGGCACATCAATCGTACCAAGATAAATAGATTGGGCCTACCAGTAAAATAGTCCATAGGCAATCAATAAAGTTATGATACACAACCGTGTGTACATGGCTTGCTGTGCCATGGGCACTGGGAAAGGTAGAAGTAATGCGGTAAGGATGATCTTCAGCCCAATCATTCACTGAGTTACTAGAGCTTGTTTTCTCTAGACTGGCTCTGATGCAGAACCTTGAGACACATCTAAAGCAAAGTTTTAGACTTAGAAATGAAACAACGGCTTGTCCAAATTATAGCTGCAGGAGTGAAATGGGCTAAGGCAAAGGGCAGTTCAGGAAATAGATGCTGACCCAAGTGTTGACTATATAATAATGTTAATAACAGCCTATCTATAGAATGACTATGGTTTTCACATCTTTTACCCATACATTATCACATTGGATCTTTTAACAACCCTGAAAAGTAGGGCTACAATTATTTGGAATGAAATTAAAAAGTGTGTTCCTGTTTTGTGGGTAGCAGAGAAATTATTTATTCAGGCCATGAGGGCTCTCAGCTGGATATAATGAAGCATCTCAGTAGAAAGGAACACTTGCAGAAAGTGAAAAATGGAAAGGTCTGGAATTGGAAAGACCAATTCTGAGGCTCTGTGGTAGGATGGGAGAGGGTAGGAAGAAAACATCGGGAAGGTGAAATTCCAGGTTGATTGGGAATGGTTGGCTAGTTTCAGGGAGACTTCCAGAGCTTAGTTTATGAAATTCTTTGTTCCTACTCTCCGTTAGTTAAAGTGAGTTGCATTTCATCTGAATTCTCAGAAAATCCCACTGACTTTATTTAGCATTACTTTCTGTGGTTTTATTGTTATTTACATATCTGATACAGTCATTAGGTTGCCAGCTTCTAGCAGATCAAGTTGATTCTGTTCATCTCTGTCTTCCCTCAGGGGGAAGCATACAGCTCGGTCACTTGCACAGAACTAATGTTTAATAAACACTTGCAGTATTTAACTGAAGTTTGGCAGTGAAAGACAAAATGCGAGCTTCACACAGCAGGGTTGTAGCAGAGGGCTGGTTTCTTTATTTTAAGAAACAAGTAAGACACAGTGGAAAGAATATGTAAGTTGGAAGCAAACACGGTTTAAATCCTGGCACTACCCACTTATTTTCTACATGACCTTAGCCAATGTACTTACGTGTTTAAGCACAATTTTCTCATGCATAATATGCCAGTAATAAAAAGCTACCTTTTGAGGTTTCTGTGATGACAGAATGAAATGTTATGTGGAAATGGTCTAATATCTGGCACACAGGAGATCTTCAACAATGTTAGTCATGAACTAAGGTGACATGTCCAGGCCTGCCACAGACCCAATGTGAACATGTTCCTAGAAGAAAGGAGAAGTTATGATATGGAAAGTATAAGAGGAAAGAAAAGTAATGGAGCATGTTTCCATATGGAGCAGGCAAAGGACATGCCTTTGAAAGAAAAGACAAGTGTTATTTCCCTTTAAATGGACAAAAGATGAAAAGAAACAGGAAATATTACAGAGGATTCTAGGAAGACCAGGTCTCAGAGAAGTTGAAAGAAAGATTATCTTTGCAGAGCCTGTTGTGCGTAATAGGCTAGGGGATACTAATTCAGGGGAGAACAACTCTGAAGAGCAGGCAAGGCCACTGAAGAAGCTTGACCTTGGCACAATTAGAGAGATATCTAAAAGCATGAGTCTAATATATTCCCAGAAAATTCTGTACACAGGTCTTATCAGTTCTGGGCAAAGCATTAGGTTGGTAAGGACAGATTGTCGAGCAGGTGTGCAGAAATGGGGGTTGAAAGAGCTAGTGCTGCACATACAAATGGAATATACATATCAAATAAGTAGATTGATTATAAATATAATTTCCAATCAAAGAAGAATGTGTTGATCAGTCCGAAAAGAAAGCAGAATAGGTTACTTAATACAATATAACATTAAATAAACTCACTTTGTATGCAGAATGATTTTGGAAATCATCTAGGTTAACTGAAACTTAGGCATGAGAACTGAGTGTTCCTTGATAGCAGTGGTTTTATTAGAATCCCAAGTGTTATAGTGCTTGAGAGCATCATTCTGGCATCTGACTTTTGAAGTTTGAATCCCAACTTTCCGGATACCCACTTTTCAACTCTGAGCAAGTTTCTTAGCCTGTGTGAAAATTACTCTTGTTATTAATGATGTACAGATAATCATAATGATTATAATATCCTTATAGGGGTTAAATAAGGTCATCTTTGAAGCATGCTTATACTAGTGCCTGAAGCATGGTGGCTACTTCACAGATTTTTGTCTCAGATCTCTTCCTTTTCAAGCTTTTTTGAAATTGTGTATGTGTGCATGCACATGTGCACACACATGCACACATTTGAGTGCAGGGGCCAAAGGAGGCCAGAAGAGGGCACTGAATCCCTGGAACTGGAATTACAAGCAGTTGTGAGTCACCCTGCATGGGTGCTGGGAACCTAGACAGGGTCTTCTGCAAGAGCAGCAAGTTAATTGTTGAGGCAACTCTCTAGCCCCAGCTCCCCTGAGTCTTGTCCACAGTTCTGTTTGCTACATGTCTCCTTCTTGACTGACTGATTTCCTAAACAGTAATTGTGGGCATCTAAGAACTCATTTGGTTAGAAGCCATAGTAAATATGTTTCTTGTGAATCTACATCCTTAACTATGGACACACCATATTTTATTTTCATTTCTTCTATTGAACTTATATTTACAATAAGGATAATCTTGATTGTAACATTTGTAAAGAACAATTTTTGCATATATTTTATGAAGCCAATTCTATTTCTTACATCTATGTATATTTCAGACATCATATTTTGAAGATTAATCCTATTTTTTTTCTGAATCAGAAATAGGTAAAACTCAGATATATCCTTTGTGTAAAGGAACCAAGGGACAAAGAGGGTCAGCTGAGCATGAACTTGTCTAAGGAGTTACATATGGTCTGAGGTCAAGGCTTGTTTGCTTAAAGTTTACATAAAAGCACCAACCCCCTTATAGAGCCCAGAAATAATGTTTCTGTTCCTTCTCTCTCTGCTTTTAGTTTTTGTGGTGATGAAAATGAATTAGTAATCAGATCAAGTATGGTCACTTGGACCTCCCAAAACAAATCAATTGTTTGTGTTTATCTCACTTGGAGATTTTCTGAGGGTTGTTATACACTAGCTTGGAAGACCAAGCATCCATGGGACATCTCATTTCTGACGCAGTCAACCAGCTGGGTGTTGAGAATATTTCCATGGCTTCCAATCCGTCAATGCTTGAAAACATTTACTACAGAAAGGATCGCTGGCTCAGGGAAGACATTTGTCTAATTCAGCAACAGCTCTTTGCACTGCATTTCCAGATTAGGCCTCTCCTTGAAAATGATCTATTACAGGAGCAGTTTATAAAATTAAACACTTGTCATTATGCAATGCAAAATTCATGAAGCAACCAAATGTCAGGGATCTACATATTTAAAAAATGGGAGCTTTAGCATTTCTTCCCTGGCATGGATTCTGAGCAGTAAAAGGCCAGAGAAAAACATAGCAAATCACAAAGCTGTTTTGGAATGGACCAAATCGTTCCCTTTTTGGATTGCATGTAGTTCTAAGAGCTAATTTCCCTACTGGAAAAATCATTATCTATTCAATAATCTTTTACCAGACCTCTATGGCCAGGCACATGCTGTGTGCTAAGGTAACACTGATAAAGTGTGGCCCTGGCTCTTAGAGCTGGTGTCCTAGTGAGGGGTGATGTGGGAAGCCGGGCATTGTGTTAACAATGGACAAGGAAGAGCAGGCCAGTTGACATACAAAATTCTCTCTAATCACCTGTATTTCCCCCCCATTTCTCTGTGTGGGATCTATCTTTCCAAATTTCGACTGCTGCTTTTGAAGTTGAGGGCCAAATAGCTTTCACTAATTAATACTGAGCAAGAATAGGTGGGACTCAGACTACCACATAAGATGTAGACTTGATAGAATACTACATCATGAAAAATAAGCAAGCTAGATGCTAAGAACTCTCCTTAGATGGAATACATAGAAGAGTGCTGATAAAAACTAAGGGTCACCCCATTAGAGCCCTCTCAGCCATGTTCTTTCTCATTGCTTCCAAATTTGGAGGACAGAGATACTCGTACTGAATTTTGATTGATGTTAGATATAGGAGGATTAGGCAACTCCAGGTATCATTGGGCTAAATATCCGTTAGCTTTATTACGTGTGTGGACAACAGATCTTGCTAGAGGGACCAGTTACTTATGTATCAACATCTAAAGATCTCTACGTTGAGAATACCGTCTACTGACCATGATTCCTCTTGGGCGTTATCTCTAACAGCTTAAGACAGAATCTATACCAGGTGTCGTGCCCGCAGAAATCCACTGAGAGCTTTCGTGTCACACTTGGCATCTCACCTCAGAGTGGCCGCTGTGTCATGACATTTAGACCTGGCCGCTTTGGCATAGTCATTCAGTGCCAGATAAATTGAAAGGTAGAAACATGGCTTTGACTTTATTCTCAATATTTTAGCCTCTTGCTTGCCAATGGACATTGAGAGCTTAAAATATGCATCATGATGAGAGCGAAGAGGCCACTCAGAGATAGTGATTCTGTGTTAATTGGTAATGGTTTAACAAAGAAAAAGTGATTTGATACATCAATACTACCAGCTTGGTGTAAAGTAAATACTGTTAAAATGATCGTGTAAATGGATGCATCAAATCACAGTGCTCGAAAAGTCTTCTTGGACTACTCTCTTACCTCATCTTCATAGGTCACCTAGGACATGTTGGAGGAATACTGTTTCCGGATACTACCCAAGCAGGCTGCAATGGCATGAGCATCCTGCCTCAGCACCGAGATACACAAGTCAGATACCACTTGGCTGCCCTGGTAAGGCATAACACCATGTACCTGCGCCAGGAGACATGGAGCAGCTACTGGAGCAAGCTAGCTGTCAAACAATGGCCTGTTGGAAATCTCCTGGCATTTGCCAGGAAAATGAGAGGAGAAAGGAAGATCTCAGAGAGGGACGGCAGGCTCGGGTGTGATCCATCTTAAATTTGTTTTCAGGTATGTAAGTTTCTTGTGTGTGTGTGTGTTTGTGTGTTTGTGTGTGTGTGTGTGTGTGTGTGTGTGTGTGTGTGTGTGTGTGTGTGCATGTGAAGGCCAGAGTTTGACATAAGGTATTTTCCTCAACAGCTTCTCCACCTTAAGGATCATCACTGAACCTGGAGCTCACCCATTGGCTAGACTGAACCTGGAGCTCACCCACTGGCTAGACTGAACCTGGAGCTCACCCATTGGCTAGACTGAACCTGGAGCTCACCCATTGGCTAGACTGAATCTAGAGCTCACTCATTGACTAGACTGAACCTGGAGCTCACCCATTGGCTAGACTGAATCTAGAGCTCACCCATTGGCTAGAATGAACCTGGAGCTCACCTATTGGCTAGACTATATGGCCACATTCTCCTGTTTCCATCTCCCTGTCTCTGGAACGACAGGTGGATGCCATAGTGCCTGGCCTTTTATGTGAGTGTAGGGATCTGAACTCAGCTCCTCATGCTTTCCTAGAAAACACTTTATCAGCTGTGTCTTGTCTTTGCTCCCTGTATGTGCATTTTGAGATGTTAGTAAGACTTAGTTTTCAGATAGTGTGAATGAGAATTTGGGGGGCAAGAAATGCTGTGTGCAAAATATTTCTGTACAGGGAATGTCAGGAAGATGGACTTGACTAGAATGTGGGGCATGCTCAGAGAACAAGTAGGAGAGAATGGATGGAGTTGGAGTAGTGTCTAGTGTAGAAACTATAACCACACACTCACATAGAAATGATACAAATAATATAGTGAGAGTCTAGATGTGTTTGTGGCTTTTTACAGGTGAGTTACATGAGAGCAAAGGAGCTGAAAGACTAGCCAAGTTTCTTTCTGAAATGAATGGGTATAAAAGTTGAATTAGAAGCCAAAGGTTCTGCCATGGAAAGATCTTTGTAATCCCTGTGTAAGGCAATAAGGACTTAAATGAATGTAAACAGATTTTTTCACTGGCTACAGATGTAGAAAAAGATTGGGGGCGTTAAATAAGTATGAACCCAGGGAGTTTAAGTAGCTGCACGTCATTGAAATTTCAGACTGCTGTTGCTTCTGATAGCAGTGGACAGACTGAGCAAGGTACCGTTCAGGGGATGAGATTCACGAATATGGGTACCACCACCGTCTTGCTGAGAAGATGAATGTGGTGCGGACTTGGAAAGTGGTTAGAAAAACCCCAGTAGAAATAGATGACTTAGGACATGCTTTTGAAGAAGGGGCAGCATATGAACCACTCATCCCATCACTATTGCTGTCACCACCGTCAAAAAGCCTGTATTAGTCCCAAGGAGGGGTGGGTGAACGTATTTATACAGTTAAACATATGGATGGACAAAATTCAAATTTAGATGAAGTTCACGTAAAAAAAAAAACCACAAAAAGGTGGAAAACAATGGGTGTTTGACAAATAGAATAAACAAATAGAGAGAGATTCAGTCATGGAGCCATGATATGGCAGTGAATTCCGGAAGGGAAAGGGGATTTGCCAGAGAGGAGAGGCTGAACCTCCTTACCAGAATGCTGTTTGAGAAAGACACAGCTGAGGCTGAAAGAAGCTTGGAGCTCTCCCAGGGTAACTTTCCTGTCAGAAATCAGGCTCAGAAGCTGTGCCCAGCCGTGGCACACAGTTCCCGGGCCTTAGGAAAAGGGCTGGCTCTCATTTGCATATTTAGACAATAGCATAAGGGCTTGGTGAGCTCATTGCATTGGGGTACAATATGGAAGAAGAGAGATTTGCTGGGATGAGGGGTTATGCAAGAGGTTAAGTGAAGTGCGTGTATTCTACAAGAATAGACATGGATATAGGTCGAGAAAGAGAAGAAAGGGTCAGTGAGCCTAAGAGGGTCACGGTCTGGGAAGGAGAGGGCCTGTAGACTAAGAGACAGGAGGTGGCAATCCACAGACACACTGAAAGGCTATTTTCTTTTCCTTTATCCACCCACTAAGCAGCGCCTAATATAGTACTTTTAAGAATACTGTTTGTGTAACAGCAACATGCTAATTTATTAATTGGGGAGAAGAATGGCTCTTTGGAGAGTCAGGAAGAGACCAGGGGCGAGGCGCAGAGGCAGGCCTTGGGTCTAACTTGTGGCACATGCCCTGTGTGCTGAGGAGAAAGAAAATCCAGAAGCTTCACTTTTGGCTGCTGCAAAGAAAATGGCTGCTGTTTTAGTCGATTTTAAAGATAATGATTTTTTTTTAAAGCTGTTTGACTCCTTTATAACTCCTACCCACATTGAAGTAATAGGCCAGACATTCAGATCAAACTGTCCCTCCAGGAGGAGACACTTGCCAAGGAAACCTTGGCCAGATGGGAGCTGGAGAAAGAGGTTCAGAACTGAGAGCGGTTTGCCTGCCCAGTGAGTTTGGATTTAAACCAGGTGTCCCCAGGGTAGAAGGCCCAAGTGTTGCCAGTGAAGAGCAGGGATGTAAGCTGCCATTGTGTGAAAACAAGCTAGGTGGTGTGGTTGCAGGGAATATGGTCCAAGTATCCTAAGTGCGTCTGTTTGATAATGCTTTTGAGTGGCTATCCCAGGATTTGTGCGTGCCTCGAGGTGCCTTTGTTTCCCAGTTTCCAGAGGCGTGAACAAGGCCATGTCTTAACAAAAGCACTAGGTGGCAGCACAGGACATCTATTCGATAGTCTCTCGCCACAGGCTGCTGGAATTTTGACAGATACAAAACGGTACCTGTGGTTTTGTGTATAAAACTGGTATAACTGTTTGTACATTTAAAAACTGTAACAATAAATTAAACATAAGGGAGAGGCTTTGCTAATAAACACAGTGTTAGACTGCATTTTTGTGTACCAGGTGACAAGCTTGGGCATTCAAACCTGATTTGTATAGGGGATGGGCAGGATGGGAAACAGGCCGAAGGAACTGCAAAATGTACATGCCGGGTGGCTGCAGCTTCCTTCAGGGTTGTTGTTGATATGTCCATCTGTCTGTGTGCACTACACAGAGGTGAAAATTTTAGGGAAGTGAGGGGTATGGTATGTCTGAACGTCTGGATGCATTGAATCTAGGAAGAAAGCACTCTGTAATTCCCAGCTTATGATTTGGTGGGAAGGTGAAAGTGTGAGCATGTTACGTTAATTTGCCTGGAAGAGGCACATGTCATACTTTTCACGCTCTTATCTACTATTTAGAAAGTGACCCCTTAAGCCTACGCACATCCTAGTCTAGAGGGCTAGGTTTGATGCATGCTGCCATATTTGGCTGTGCATTTTCTTGATCAGAACAAGCTGCTGTCTGAGACACTAAGCTTGCTTCAGCAAGGCTCATTTGACAATCTACCAAGACGCAAAGCCCAAACATTTCCAAAGCCATGCATAGCAGACTGTACTTAGCCACAGGGGCTCTCCCTCACTCTCCTTAGCTAAGCAATTCATAGTCAAAATCCTATCATGCTGATCAAAGCAAAATCTTTGTATTCGTTCTTCCATTCAACAAACTTTTGTCTTTTACTGTATGCCAAGCACATGATAGTGAATAATGAAAAAGAGAAAAATTAAAAACAAAATGAGCCCTCAAACACCAGACAACATCTCCTCTACTATAAAGACAATAATGATACTGCTTGTAAACGGTTGGTCCAGTGTCATTGGTACACAAGACATTTTCACTATTTGGTTCTCATGATAACTCTGCATTTTGCATTTTCTTTTCTACAAGCAAAGAACTGAAGTTGACAGATAATTAGTCACATGCTTAAGATTATAGTCAATATACCCATGGGATGTGAACTAGTTGTTGGCTCCAAGTTTTAAACTTGTCCCATGATGTTATGTATCTACAAACAAAACACTGAGCAGATGAGATGACTCAGAGTGAAGGGTACTTGCTGCCAAGCCTGATGACCCAAGTTGGATTGCTGGAAGCCATATGGTGACAGACTTACACCTGAAAGTTGTCTTCTGATTCCCACACATAAATAAATTAAATAACTGTAATAAGGAAAATGCTCTGTACTGTATTCTGTTCTTGGCTTTTATGTGAAGACGTCTAAGTCTCAAAAATCTAGGTTAAAAACATTTGAATTCAAGCACTGTGTGATTATTTAGTAAACAAAGTTTAGAAATCTAGCACTCCACTAACTTTGGAATAAGAAAAGTGCTACGAAAGAAAAGAAAATCTTCCTGGGTTTATTTTTGCTTAATTGCTTGTTTACAAATAAGACAACTGGTCTTTTTCAACAGCGTTCTTTTTTCTAAATGGGGGTTACAGTTTGTTTTTTTCTGGTGAAGGAAAGTATCTCATTTATTGACTTTACATAAATAAGTCTCGATTCTTTTGTTGGCACTCTTGCTTTTCAATGTTTCTCTTCATGCAAAACCCTCATCACCTTGCAGACTCTTCCTGGGAGGGTAAAGACATCCCATTTATTTGATGAGTGAACGACCTGAGTGAAAGCATTCTTCTCATCTATTGGCTTCATTTCGTCCACCACTTTTCAAGCTTTTAATCAGAACTTTCCTCACATCATAGTGTACAAAGTTGTCCCCAATTGGCCCTCACAGTATCTGTAGCCTTATAGTCCATTGCCACACAGGCCAGCTTGCTGTGGATGATTGACTGATAAATAAAACACTGATTGGCCAGTAGCCAGGCAGGAAGTATAGGCGGGACAAAGAGAAAAGAGAAGTCTGGGAAGTGGAAGGCTGGGGGGAGGAAACGCCAGCCTGCCGTCCAGGGAGCAGCATGTAAAGGCAGCAGATAAAGTCACGGAACATGTGGCAACATATAGATGAACAGAAATAGGCTGAGTTTAAGTGTAAGAGCTAGACAGTGGTAGGCCTGAGCTAATGGCTGAGCAGTTTAATAAATATGAGCTTCTGAGTGATTATTTTATAAGCAGCTGTGGGGTCCATGGGGCTGGACAGGATTGGAGAAAACTCTAGCTACACCAGCTTGTGTGTTTAGATGTTACTCTTTTGTCCCTTGTAAACAAGCTTCCCAGGCAGAGTATCACATCTGGGAGGGTAGTGCTTATCATTTTCTCATATCAGGATACTGGGTTCTTGTAACAGAAGCATCTAAATCTGTAAATTCTTTGTGATTGTGCCTTCTGTGGTGGCACACTCTAGATCAGGCCCATCTACAGGCATCTGGGCATGAGTTGTGGCATGGAGATGCAATCTATCGGTCATTCAAAGGCAACAAAGAAGCTGTGTTGCTTTATTTTCAGAGGGTTGCCTATTTTAGTGATATGGGTCCACCTCTTCTTTAGCTGGTCACAAAGGGCCACTTGTAGACAACCACTGTCCAAATTGGATCATATTGCTATAGGGAAAAAATGCCAGGCGCAGACTTTGTAGAATCCAGAAACTAAACACAAACCCTGTGGTATAACTCAGATTCAAAGACAATAGAACAAGAGGTTGATTTCCCCCAACTTAGCATACAGCAAGAGTAATTTATACACTCAGTGCTTTTAAAAACAAGCACTCAGCAGAGAGACTGATACAGATCTTCTCCTGACTTCTGTGTCTGTAAGTTCACACCTGGCTTACACATGAGCAAAACAAACGCTAGCCTTCCACCTGCTGCCTGCAGCCCTGCGAAGCATCTCTCCTCCGTCCTGCCCCTGCAAATAAAGTATTGTTTCCAGGAAAGTACTCAGAAATGGCTACTGCCTGAAAGGGACATCATACGTAAATAGCAAAGAGTAATTCATTAAGTTGCTTACATTCACCCAGTGTTGTAATACTACCCTGCTAGATCATTATAGAGAATAAACAGGTAAGCAGAAGGAGAAGGCTCATGACTCAGGAGTAGGAAGAAGTCCTAGTCTATAAAAATCAAGTTCCAGTCTATAACAATCAGGAAATTCTTACTAAAAGGAAAAAAGAATCTGCTTTGAGAAAATTTAAAAATTTCCCTTCCTGTATTAGCATTATATACTCAGAGGAATGGTTCAAAATTCCTTTTAAGCCTTTACCGGTGCCTTAAGAATATGGAAATGCTTTCCTATTTCTCAAGACTGATCCTAAGAGATGAGAGAACCAGGCACAGGTTTGAGCTCCCTGCTGGAGCGCCACAGTCCACAGCCTGTCTAGAGCAGGCAGTGAACACGTGGTCTCTTCCCAGCTTCCAAAAGTCCCCCTTCAGCATCAAGGACCACTTAAGTCTCAAATCGCAACAGGTGACAACATGTCTCTGCAAATAAGCTCCCGGGGGCAGAAGTGTGTGTGTGTGTGTGTGTGTGTGTGTGTGTGTGTGTGTGTGTGTGTGTGTACCTGCCCTCAGGAGAGGGAAGGAAGTCTCTCATAGAATAAGTGAGATCAAGCCTGACAGTGCCAATTAATTACACTGCAAGAAGACTATGCTTGCACCTCACACTTCCTTTAGTGTCTGTTTTTATAAATGAGGGAAAAATGTTGAGACAAGAAATCAAAGGATGGGAAGTCCAAAGAAAGCAGGATCACATCGTTATTGTTTTCCGTTTTTGTGGGGTGATAGAAAAGACAGCATAAGGCCCCCACTCTCAGTTCTCAATTCCCATCTCAGTCTCTGTCCTAGCAGAAAGACCAGGAATTTGAAACACAGGGCCCAGTCAGTATAAGTGGTCCATGGCTCCAGTTGCCTTACCTTCCAGGATGGGTCTTTCTATTGACTCACAGTTTGCCTGCCAAAGGCTCAGTGAAACACTCCATTTCATGGGTCCTATGCCCCATGAGAGAACACAGCAACACAGAGTGTGAGTGAGTGTAGGTCTTGTGGTCAAGTGCTAGGCTCCTCTGGCCTTTGTGATGCTTACCTGTATGTTGGATCATGTTTATGTTTGGGCTACTTGACAGTTTCTTTGTGTACATCACATCTACAAAATTAATAGGCCTTTGGATCCTATTATGGAGAGCATACTTAAAGCACTAGAACTGTTTGAAGTAACAGCCTAACTCCTTCAATTGCCAAAGAACCAGCGCTGTGTTTGATAGTATCTCTGAGGTTCAACTGTTTAGGAAGAAGAACGGAAATGAAAAGACTGAGTGCGTTTGTGTGTATGTAGTATGAGGTGGGAGGCAACAGTAACAAAGTGTCTGAGCATATGTGCATGTATGTGTGGATAGAGACTCTTACATTTCATAGCTTAGGAGAGTCAATGAGAACATTGTTGTTGCATAGATATAGGAGAGTTACAACTTACACCATTGGCATTCCCAAGTGTCTGCGGTGGGCCAAAGGAAAGCTGGGAATATGTGTCTTCAGTTAATGGGATCTTCTGTCTAGTTCTATATGGCAACTCAAATGTGGGTAGAAAATTATGGCACATATAAGACAGCATGTGACCCTGGAAAGGGTTCAGGTTTTATAGACTATCTTAATTTTGTGAGTTTTGACTGCCATTAGAATTCTTTAAAAATTTTTTTAAAGAAAATTTTATTCTTTGTCAATACCATTTCTTAAAACACACAGTCATTTCTATTGTATAGGGTTTATGCCATAACTTTTCCTTAGTATTTTCTATAGTGAAAAGTTTATTGGTTTATAAATGAATTGGTGATCTTATCTAAAGTGTAAGTCTTCTCTACAAGAGTATATGGATTATTACATTTGATTCTCTTTCCTGGTCTACTTTACAGCACCATGCTCTCACACTAGACTATGCACGGGATATATAAAAGAAAAGTCTGTTCTTGTGGTCCACTCTTGGAGAATCAGAGAAATCATTTCCTGGAATGATTTCTGAATTACCTGGTTTTCAATTACACATGCATTCCTTATTACTGTTTGCAAGGATTTCAGGAGAGAACCTTATCACTTATGTATATAAAAGCCAATATTATTCTACGTAAGAGTTAGGAATAAAATATAAATTATGAGTGCTGCAGCTGCCCAGCTACATAGAATACATGCCTTCACCTACTTATGCTCTCATCCCTCTCTTCTTCCTTCTTTTCCTTCCTTTCCCTCTTCCTTCCTTCCTTCTTTTTTTCTTCTTTTCCCCCTCCACACTGTCTCCTTTTCCTTCTTCTTTCCCTGCTACAATTGGAGAGTTGGGAGAGGAATGAGAAAAGGGGCTTGGAAGAGCTATGTGTTAGAAGTGGACCGTCACTGCTCAACTGGCCTCTGGCCATAATGAGAACCAAGAAGGTATTTCTAACATTTTCATTCCAAGTGCCACTATCAGCACGCTTTCTGAACAATGGATCTCCATGAGCTAGTCCTTGAGCTATAGAAACTGCTGCAATGTTGTGTCTGTTTACCAACAATAGTATGAGCACTGTGGGCATATTTTGCGTAAGTTATGGCATGGCCGAAATGTGGGCTTTCCAAAGCATTGTCGCCATTCACATAAAGAAAGCTCAATTAATACTAATTTCCAGGGCCTAAACCGGTTTAACACCAATAGCAGAGCTTTCTCCTCTGGCTTTTACATCTCAAGACTATTACTGTTCGAATCTATTCTGATGGGGTTTTAGAGCTCAGGAAAGTCACAGAATTTTGGTGGTCTCTGCATGGTAAGCAGACAACAAACCAACAATGGGATGGATGGTAAAAAGGCTTCATTTTCTAAGAAAAGGAAGTGAATCTTATAAACATATCTTTGTTGCCTTCCCATGGAAAATTTAGCTGCTGTACATGCCATATATGCCTTTGCCAACCTCTACCAATAGGTAGAGAGGACTCCGGCTTTCTGCATCTCCACTGATCTCTGAGGGTGAGCTCCCTTTTCATGACAAGGACTGAGCAAATGATAGAAAATGCCTGATTGTCAGTTCTATATTCCATAGATCTAATTGCCATTGAAGGAGAGCAAGGGAATTAAGGTGACCACCTATTCACTGTTGAGAAGTGTGAATAAGGAAATGATCTGCCAAGAGTTACTTTTGATGAGTTTCAATTTTGGGGGGATATAGCATAAAAAAAGAGAACTCAAGACTTTAACATCTAATCCTCATTCTTGTCTTCATTCCAGTATCTCATACTCCATCACTGTGTCCCCAGAAAGCTAAGGTCT